TTTGGTCTGAACCAAAAATGGGACCAACATTTAGTTTTTGTCCATCAGACTAGACGTCATGTTTGTCAGACACCAAACTCTGCACATCATCACAAACACACCATCCCCTCTGTGAAGCATGGAGGTGGCAACATCATGATGTTTCTCAGCAGCAGCCCTTGTAGATCTTTACAAGTAGAGGGTAAATGAATGCAGCAAAGTGTAGAGAAATCCTGGAGGACAATCTGATGCAGTCTGCAGGAGAACTGAGACTTGGAGAAGACTTGATTTCCATCAAGATGATGAGCAACCTGACAGAGTTTAATCAGATTTATAAAGAAGAATGAGGTAAAATCTTAGTGTCCAGATGTTCATGCTGATTGAGACCAACAGGATCAATGATGGATCTACTAAATACTGACTTAAAGGCAATGAAAACTTTTTTATTACTTTGTAGAAATCTGTTTCCACTTTGACACAAAACATTCTGTTTTTGTGACGATTCATCCTAAAAGACCAACTAACCATGTCCTTGTTTATGTCATGACCAGCCACTTGTTTATTAGGTCGTCCTGTTCTGTCATTTTGGTTTGGAGGTCCACTGTAAACACTACATTACCCACAATTCCAAGACTTCTCTCCATTGTTCTCTAATAGAAAGTTTTTTAGGTTTTGTTAGTTGTTGGTTCGTTCTGAGGTCACGACAGTTTATTCACTTCAAAGCAGTTAATGGAAAAAAAACTTCATTTAAAATCTTATTTTTCATTTTTTTACAACGATTCAAAAGTTTGCTTCAGATTCTCTTGGCGGTTACATGGAAACACGACTTTACTTCGCCTTTAACTCAAATCCGAGCAGACACTGACCCCATTACATTTAAAAAGCATAAACAACTCAACTCGTTCATGCATGAAACATCCGTCCAACACATTTAGCTGAATTTTTTTGTTTGTTTGTTTGTTTTGCGATCAAACTTTACATTTAGACATTTTCCGGTTCTTGTGCACCAAGTTTCAGCCGACCATGGATCCTTTTATTAGTTGCAAAAGCAGCAGCAGCAGCTATGAGCTTCTACTTTCACATATTTGTAGCTGAAAAGCTGCATTTAGAGGTTTTGGTTCATGAGCAACTTGTAGACGTGGGTTTCCACACAGCAGGATGAGAAACGTGAGCGGCAGGACTCTCGTTTCGTCAGTTGCTCAGAGAGACAATCTGCACGAGTTTCTTTTTCTTTTTACGAACTTTGACGCTCCCACGACGCAACCAACTCCCTCCAGCGCTCACCGGGCCGTCGCTGCTCCGACTGTTCTTCAGTGTCCTAAACGCTGCTGTGGTTCCCAATTTATTTTATAAAACATGAGCTCAGTCATAATTTATGTTCGCGGTCCTAAAGCAGCATCAGGGACGAGTGATTTCGCTGCTCAGGAGGACGTTTGACGGCAGCGGAGGCTTGTTCTGCTTCCGTCTGTTGACACATTAAAGTGCTGAGAAACGTCCTCCAGCGTTTTAATTTCCCCTCCGCTCACTGATGCACACTGGATTCTGGATTGGGACCAGATTTACTGCATTAAACATGAAGGAAAAGCGAATAATAGAATGCATCTCCTCCGTCCCTCTTATGTAATGTGAAGGCGATTATAATCCGACTACTTGATTCATCCACAGTAATGCACAAACTCACGACACCTTTTTGGGTTTTCTGTGGAAGAAAAAGTCCCATAGTTTCCTTTTCCAACCACTTCGATGCTGTAAATCACCTGGTTTCTTTAGTTAAAGACGGTTGCGTCTGAAACGAACCACCTTGAACGACGCTGCTTCTGGTTTCATCGCCCGGTCGCTTTGGGAGCGCTCAGCCGAACGCCTCCCAGTTAAAGATGCAGAATGTTTAATGGGACTCGGTTATCTGGTGAAACGCTAACCGCCAACCGGAGGTGTGTTTGGATTTCCATCTTTTAAAAACCGTGAAGCTTGAAGCGTTCGTTTACGCATCTGAACCCTCGATTTCATCCGAGGATCAGTGGGAATTATTCTTTTTTTTCTCTTTAATACCTTCAGATCTGCCCTCACAAGGATTTATCCAGATCAGAATAGTCAGGATTTGTAAATCCCAGATTCTAAAATCCAGGATTAGATGATCCGTCTTAATTTGGCAACATTTTTTTGTTTGTTTTTTTCCAAAGCAGCACTGGATTACATCTTTCTAATCCACATGCTTTTTAAGATTATCAAATCCAAATTACCAGCACTTCATTTATTCCAGTTTGTAGCCCGTTTTAAACATATGAAGGACAACAGGTCGAACCGGCACAATGGAGTCACTTTAAATCTCTTTTTTTTTTTTTTTTTAAATAAAGAGACAGAAAATAGAATAAATAAAACAAACAAACAATAAAGCAAAGATCCACTTTCATTTTCAGTTTTTAACAAACTATCTGACCTACAACAAATAAATACGATTACAAAAAGGTGCAAAAATGTCCAATAATTGAAACAGAAACTAGGAAAAACAAAGATATGATCATCTCTAATCATTTCTGATGGTTTTAGTTTCCAAAAATGATACGTTTAATTTTATGTTTTTTTTTATTTTGACAGATGTTTGGAGGATCATTTAACCATTTTAAAAACTTTACCAAAACGCTAAATGTGTAGCTTAATGTCTACTTTATCTACTAACGTGTGAATCAAGTGAAAAATCTGAATCTACGCCAAACTAAATCCTGTTATTGGACCATTTTTTAAACGTTAATACGTCTCTTTACTGATCCATGCTGGGATCAGGGTGACGTGGAGTTTTCTGGATCCAAACAGCCACAAGTAATCCGCCGATAACTGCTTGTTGCCATGGTTACTGATGCTCGTTGATAGTTACTATATGTGGAACGTTCATGAAAGACTCATCGGGTCAGTCTCAGCGTGAAGCAGTTTGTTCTGAACTGTAGCTAGAAACGTTTACGACCGAGTTCTTAGGCAGCTAACCAATCGGACCAGAAATCACGACTTCAAGAGGCGGCGATTTGCACCTTTGTGTTTAGTTTTCTGTACAGAATCAAGAATCCAGATCCGTCGTGTTAATTAACGAGCTTCAGGGATGCTTTACGAGCATTTCTCCATCTTTTATGCTAAGCTAAGCGCTCAGTCAGAAGGTGGAACGAAGGGTTTCCCAAAAAAAACAGTTTCTTTCATTTTACAGCCTTTGTACTAATAAAACCTTCCAGGTCAAGAAGGAAAACTGGCAGAGAGCGTGAATCAGCATCAGGCCGGACAACATTTACGCCTAATTTACGGCTGTAAATGAAACACATCAGCAGGATTCGTCGGTAATGGAAGCTGGCAGCAGCTTAAACACTTCAGAGCCGTAAAACTTTAACGGCAGCATCATCGTTTATCTTCCAACCTGCGCATCCATCACGTTCATTCTCCAACTTTTATTTCCCATCGCTTCTTCCCTATGTTTTATCCCTTCCGTCACAGTTTTCATCTTCCATGTCTGACTCTTCCTCCTTCTCGTCTGCAGGCTGTTGATGGAGAGGATTTCGAATGTCAGCCGGGACCGTGGTCATCGCGGGAGGAATTCTGGCTACAGTCATCTTACTGACCATCGTCGCCGTACTGTGTTTATGTAGGTTGCAGGTACGACCGTTCAGCTCTTCACTCCTCGTTAAATCAGGCAAACAGGAAGCTTTACGACATACTCTGATGTCAGTTTGCAAATCAACCAGTTCAACCAGAGTAGTCGATTAAACTCACCCTGTTGCTCACCCAACGGATCCTTGGATGAACCTGGTATTGGCCGATTTTTTTTTCTGTGTAATGCAACATTGAAGCATGAGGCTAAGCCATGTTCAAGGTCATGAATGGTGTTTTTCCATCCTTGACTCTCCTAAATGATCCCACACTTTGGATTTCCAGCCCAACATGTCGTTAGTGTCCAACAAGTGCAGATCCCAGCTGTGTGAGCCATGATACCCATCTGTAACCACCACTTCTGTCGGCTTTTCTTTCACGCAAAACCACAGAACTTATTGTGGATCACTAGGAGGAAGCCCTGCAGCTTGTTCTCACAGACTGGAGCTGCATGATGTATAGTTTTAGACGTCACAATATGCATCCTGCTATGATAATACTTTCTGCTGCCTTTTCATGACTAATCTGCAACAGAAGCCTCATGAGACATCGTTCAGTCTGATTTAAGGCTTCTTGGATAGTTTGTTTTAACAAAGAGTTCATTGACATGCAGTGACAGAGAACCAGGATAGAAACACTAAAAAGGAAGATTTGGTTGCAAATAAAGGAAACCCAACGTCAGATTTATAAAAAATACTTCAGCTACAGAAGGATGAAGTTGACCAAAGCTTTACAGACTTGTTTTTTCTTAGAGATGAATTCTTTCCAAACAGTTATTCGAGTCATCTGGTGAAGATTCCTGTATTTTCTCACATAGTACTGTACATCGCATAAACACTAGATATTGCATTAAGGTTTTTCCATCCTGCGCAGCCTGACGGGCCTTTTTTAAAATCTTTTTTGCACATATAAATAAAATTGTGTGTGCAGCTAAATATCCAGAGTTCTGCACGAGATCAATGTGTTTGAAGGTATGTTTCGCTTAAAGTCAGAGTGTGATAACGGTGGCTCCCTTAACCTGCTAGATCGCCATGGTAACTGATGCTGTGGAGCCAACCTGGTCTGGTTCTGAAGCATCTCTCTTCAACCAAACTATTTGTCTCAATTTTGTCTCACCAGCAGTTAAAAGCCCCAAAACTCAGAGTTTAGAATAGTAGAAAACAGAAACTCTTTACATTTGAGAGGCTGGTAACAGGATTTTTGTGTAAAAGTGATTTAAACGAGAGACGTAGTCGCCCCAGTCAACCATTACTCCGTCCAACTTACCACAAAGTAGATGTTTTCTGTCACTGATCATGGTTGGCTGGTTGTCCAAGGTGAAACGGGTTCAATCCACATTACATGTTATTTAAAATATAACGGTAATATCATCATTTATGACCTTGAGTTTGACCTTGTAATATCACTCAAGGTCAAATGTTGCATCACCAATAGAAAGCCCCAACATGGCTGCTGATCTGCACCAAACACCATAACTCTACCTTCCACCCTTTTGATGGGATACGGTATTTTTAGGAAAAGAGACCCTTGATCTCTAGCGGAGGTGTTTTTGTACCGATTGACCCCAAAAGATCGACCCCTCGTCAACGATGATTAACTACCGAATGATTCTAGTTGTTATTGTATTCTAGTACTTTGGTTTATCCTCGTTCATGGTGCAGCTATAAAATGTCGTCTCCCCAACAAATGTGGCACCAACACATCATACTTCCACCTCCGTGCTTCGCTGTCAGGACTATACATTCACTGTGGTGGTCCTGGTCAGGTTCACACCAGACAGGCTGGACTCCATCTGAGCCCAACAAGTTTATGTTTCTCTTATGATGTGTTTCCAACGTTCAGCTGGCTTTTTTCTTTGAATATGTTGTTTAGAAAAGTTTAACGCTTCAGTGTTGTGCAGAGCGACGAACAAGCGGAGCTATTTTTGGAGAGGCCATTCCTAGCTCACCTGTCGAGTATCAGCTGGTTAGACGTTAGCACTGGAGCTACATACAGACACACAGATGGGACCAGTTACTCCTTAGTGATCACAGTGAGCTGGTCGGTTGGTTTCTGGGAGTCATTGGGGGCAGATCGTCTCTGGTTTACGTCACCAAACCTCCCTGTGGCTCTTCCTTCCTGTGTCCAGTACTACTGCTGTAAGAGGGAGGAGTCCGAGAAGGGGGAAGAGGAGGAACCGGAGCTCGCCACCATGTCGCCGTCCCGCCCCCTGGCTCTGTCGGCCCCTCCCACGCCCCCGACGCCGGACCGCTACAGCGACGAGCCCGAGACCTACCCGCCCACCTTCCTGACGGAGGCCAACGGGCCGGCCAGCTACTCGCCGACGCCACCGCCGCCGCGCAGGTGCCAGCGCTCGCACGCCTTCTGCCCGTCCTGCGCCCGCTGTTCGCTGCCTTTCTACCTGCAGCACCCCGAGAGGCTGTGCAACGGCGGGCGCAGGATCAGCTACAGGACTGTGCAGCAGCAGGACCTGGAGCTGCCCGTGGACCTGGCCAGCTTCTACCACAAGCTCAACCTGATCCGCTCCGTCACCATGCGGGAGGTGGTCACCCACAGCGTCAGCACCGACGTCTAGGAGCAGCCGGGTTTGATTGAGCTGCTCCGACTCGGTGCTGTCCGCAGAACCCGGCAGCTTTAATGCAGGCGGCCGCGTTGGAGGCCGCGGCTTTAAAGAGCGAGCAGAGGAAGCGTCTGAACGGACTCGCTTTGGCTTCAAACTGTCCGACTTTGTGTTTGCTAACCAGCTAGCCAAGTAGCTAATCGATGTACAGAAGCCAGATTTCGTTCGGAGCTTCAGAAATGTGGCCGATGTTGCTCTGAATCCCACGTTTGGACCGAAACCAACAAATGTCCAGTTTGTACCGAAGTCTGGTGTTCCAAAAATATTCCGATTTATTTGAACCAACCAGGAAGAGGATCCTGGAAATCAAGGAGCGTCCTGATCGAGGCAGGTAGCAGCACAGTTTAACGAGTGGTTTTGTTCTAGAAACATTCTGAGAACGTTCTGCAAAGTTCTAGTGATGTTTTTTTTTGGTTCTCAGAATGTTCTTCATAAAAGGCAACGTTGTACCACAAATATGACGACAACAAAGACAGGATGTTCTCGGTGGAACGTTGTCCTTGTTACACGTTTTATAGAAGAACGTTCTCAACAGCAACGTCCCTGAAAACATCCACAGAACATTACAAGCAACACCTTTGTTAATATTTTAAATTACAGGAACGTTTTGGAAACATCTTGAAAACCTCTTTTGAACGTTGGTTGGAGAGCTTATCTGACAGCGTCCTTTAAACGTTCTCTGAAGGTTCTGTTTTAGTACAGTTTGAACCTCAGAGAAACATTGCGTGAAACCTTCTTTGAACATAAATGTTGTCTTAGTGTTAGAACTTGTAGGTAACGCTGCACAAACATTAGGTTCACGTAAAAGGTTGAAAGCGTGTCGCAGGAGCGTAAAATCACAGAAATACGTCGTCGATGATCGAACAACGTGAAGTTGAATCTACTTAAATTAAATCATCTTCAAACAAAAACAGAATAAATCCTAGAAGCAAAGCGTTTTGTCTGAGATAGATCCGTAGATGTGATGGAAGCGAAAAGGCCAAAAGTTGCAGCACTGCAGCTTATTGCGACTCATCCGCCGCTGAAAGTAGTCCCAGCAGTTGCTCCTCCAGCGTCACTGCTGAATGACGCAAAACTGTTTTTCAACTAAACGCAGTTCAAACTGACTTTAGCTCCTCGACTGCAGTGTGCATTAAAGCGATCTGCCAGTAGGGAAACATCCTAAAGCCTGGTTTATGGAGGCAGTTACATCACTTTAGCAGCCACGCCCCCTCACACGGTCCTTTTTGACGGGCACCTCTGAAAATTTGAGTGGACGGAGACGTGCAGAAAACGTTGCGGACGAACAGGAGCTCCTAAAAAATCCAGGCATTTATACGATTCATCACACAGGGATCACCGTGGCAACCATGTGATGAACAGTTCGTGGCGCAAAGAAGAAGAATGGGTGAATCTCGCCTCCTACGATTCAAAGGACGAGTCGACCACTTCCTCTTCTTTTTCTGTCTCAGCAGTAATAAAAGACAACAAAGTTCCTCTTCTTCACCAAGACGAGCGCCACCTTGTAAGAGGTGTAAACGATGTCAGACTACTGTGGTATACATGTGTGTGCAACACACTGCCCCCTGCAGTTTGGTATCGGACGCTGCGTTCGTATGGAAGGCATAACCCAACCCTAAAGCCTCTTCGTCAGGACTCCTTAGCATCATCTTTTAACACCCTTTAGCATCGTTTTTCAACCTGCTCGGCCGTCCGATAGACTTCGAGTCTGCAGCTAAATCTGTGACGGTTTTGCTGCTTTTCAGTCAGCAAGAAGTTTGACATATAACAAACGATTAATGCTGTAAAACGTGTATATTTTAGCTTGAGTTGCGATCGTTTCTAAGCTTATTTGTTGGTGCTAAAAAAAACAAATGTAGACGAAACACTGACATGTCGCGGCTCTAAACCTCTTCATGAGGCTCTTTTAGACCTTTTCCGTCTTAATACAGATATTAAAAAACATTTTCCGTCGTCACATGCAAACTGAGTTTCAGGTTAATCAAACTGTGGTGTTTTTATTGTGAAGTGAACATTTTAAAAACTCAATTTAATATGTGAAATAGCAGCAGATACGTTGGTTTCTTTACGTTTTTTTGGTTGTTTTTTCATCAGCAGATGCAACTTTGCAGCTTGACTTTGCGTTTCTGCACCAGTTTGTCTAAAACCTCTGTTGCACCAAACACGACTCGGCGCCCAGCAGCCGTGAGCGTTTGCAGTTTTTGCCTTCTTGCGCATGCAGATATATTCTGCAATAAAAACGACGGTCATGTGGACAGAATTCCTTCTAAAAACAAAACGGGGAAGATTTCAGTGTAGAAAGCATCCATGCTGGTTATAGCTCTCATGAAACAGCAGAATTTAGAACCCTGAGAACAAAAAAACAACCTTTGTCTTCTGATTGTACAACAAAGTGGGCTGCAAAGAATAACTCAGATTGAATGAAAACATCTAGAAACAAGTTTGTTTTAAGCTCATTTTTACAGTTCAAAATCAAGATTTTCGTTTCCTGCATGTAGAGTTTTGAGTCTCTCTTCAGTGTTTTTTAGCGTCTTTAGGCTCCTTTTGAGTCTCTTTGAGTCATAATATCCATCAAAGTTCTCCTTCTCAGCTTCCCATTGATGCTGCTTCAGGAAACACGTCGTTGGTTTCGGTCTTTTCGTGGGATTTGTTGAGAGAACCAAACGCAGAGCAACACCAGCCTCCTTCTCGAAGCTCCGAACCAGAGTTCTGGAGAAGAACTAACAGTAGAAACTACAACTTTTCAGTCATAGTTTTAAATCCAGCAGAGCCGGACTTTGTTCCAGCGCTGCCGTTTCTATACATGTGGGTCCCGTGACAGTATTTTAACCTCACGTCTTCACCGCGGCTCAGTTACGCAGATTAAAACCACGTCGGCGGACGTCGACACAGAAACACTGCACAGAGTAACCGTCACGTCTACTTCCCTCACAGAGGACTCCTTCACCGAACACCCACGTTAGCTGTACGTTCTGTTTGTTTCCTGCTTCGCTCTCCGGCTGAACCTGAGCAGCTGTTTCCACTCATCCGGCCTGATTTCAGCTCTTTTTTTAAATCTGCACAGTCGAGCTCCGATTGGCCGAACAAAGTGGAAACACCTGAGCAGGTAACTCACGGCTCACCTGAGAGAAATCAACACCTTCTCTTCTGTTTACAGCTTTGTTTCTGCTGCGACTACGCCGGCAGGTCCACAAATATTTGGACACTGACGCAGTTTCTATGGATTTGAAACGAAACGATCAAGATGTGCTTCATGTGCAAACGTTCAGCTTTAGTTTGAGGGTGTTGACGTCCACATCGGGTAAACGGTGAACTGTTGGGCGGAACAACTCTCCACCCAAAAGCAGTTGGACAAACTGACACAATCATAAATCGAACTGTCTGAAGTCTGGAGCCCATCGACGTCACCAGGCCTTGGCTTTGGTTCCCGGTGATGCTCTGCCAGGCCTCCACTGCTGCTGTCTTCACTTCCTGCTTGTTCTCGGGGCAATTTTACCCTCAGTTTTGTCTTCAGGAAGTCAAACGTGTGCTCAGGTTGGGTGATTGACTTGGCCTTTGCAGAACATCCCACTTCATCGTCTTCTAATACCATCAAGCTAAAGCTGAAAGTCTGCACTCAAAGCACGTGTTGATAGTTTCACTTCAAATCCGTGTTGATGGTGAACGGACCTGACTGTGTATTCGCAGCAGAAACCCACCTTCTCCTTCAACAACATGCAATTTCTAAAAATAGTTGACGTATTTGATAAATACAGACACCGAAGCTGTAGTGAAAGGTGTCAGATGTTGCCGGTGTGACAGCGTTGTGCATTCGGAGAGTTTGATGATCCAGAATCGATCAGTATCGGCGACATTGTCATAGTTACACAGCTTTTATTCCAGAAATCTGTCAGCGATTGAAAAGCAGCTGCAGGAACCTCAAACGTCATTACAGCTGGTAATAATAGCTGTAATGATGCTGCTCGTGTGACGCTTCCTGCTGGATGCTGGTGCAGCAGAGCATTAGGACGGAGTCAGTGGAGGTCATGGCAGCTGCTGCTGTGGATCAGATGGTAAGAACATGCAGTAAAATGGAAAAGAGTGAGGAGTTTGGAGGTCGAAATTCACTAAAAGCTCATCCTCACGCTGCTCTGACAAGGAGGTTAGATGGTTTGTCACATGCAGTTGAGGTTTGAAAAGCAGCTTCTGATTTACCCCCAGGTTTCTGCAGTGCGATTTAGTCAGAACGCTACAAATCCAGTTCATGACATCTACAACACTTAGACTGTTTCAGTTTGTCTTGAACTAGAATCCTAACTGGTCAGAGCAGATGTCTGAAACTAGAATTACAACTAATCAGCTGCAGATACCCTCAGTTTACGTTGGAGAGATCCAGCAGTGGTGGTGGCATCATTATCTCGACATCCGCTAAAGCTGTTCAACGTTCAAACGCCTCGCCATGTGCACACATCACGACGACAAACTAGGCGACTGCACAGGATCACAACAGGTGATGTTTAGGTGCTCTCCGACAGCGAATCAATACAGACGACACTGAACGCCGGTTGCACCCGATTGGACGAACGCTCTGCTCGCGGCTCCGTCTGCTTCCGGATTTCAAACTGGAAGCAAGAACAGTTCAATGAAATGAAGTTTTAAGTGTGTTTGTAAAACATTTCAGGAGAAAAAGAGATTGTGCAGCTGCTGAAGTCATCTTAACTATAGATCGACAACAGTTTTCAGGAGTTTCTAGAGTCGTGCTCGACGCCCCTGATTTGCATAAAGTAGCCCCAGACTTCAACTTTATGCAAACTGAGGCATTTCTTACACAGATGAATAGGAACGACAGATCCTATGAGAACCTGTTAACGTGAACTGAACACGACAGCACACAGCTGAGGTGAGCAGCGAAGGACCACAGACTGTGTTCAAAGATGGACGACGCATAATACTGGTGGAAATAGCAGCTGCCGTCC